GTTACTTCAAGGCTGCATATCGTGCAAACTACTCTTGGGACAAATGTGCATCACAAGCGGGATGTGGGAGCAATAGGCTACCTCAGCCACCCTGAGAAGAGGGGATATTTCTCCTCTTGTCAAAACACAGGTGCTTTGGAAGTGGGTAGAAGTAGGTCTTGCCTCCTGATGTGTTTTCAAAAGCCTCCTCCTTCTGTGCGATAAGTACACTGACTTGGTTGACAGTCTTACACGGTAGTCATCGCCTCTCCTTATGAGTGTCAAGGAGGATGAGAAACCTTCTACCAGTCTCTGGACGCTGTTATTGCGTGCATGACGGAGTCGTCCATTTTCATTGCTACTGACGCGGACTTGCATGACGGAGATAAAAGTTCTAGGGTTCGTCTATCTCAGGATTGTCTACTGCTAAAGCAGGATAGATGTGAGATTTAGGGGAAACGGGGCCTATCATGCGGTTGCATTAAAGTCGGGGAAGGAATATGGCAAAACGATGTGTATTCAGACTTTTTTCCGGCGACGCAATCCCACCACTTCCGGTTAAGGGCTTCACTACGCTGCGGTGAGTGTAGCGACTAATATTGAGGCGCTGGTAATGCTCCAAACGGCTAATCTTTTGTGACTTTCTTCCGGCTTTGGAGTTCGTCAACGCCTTTCTAACGCACAAAACAATGGGACGAATTCTTTTATCCCTTTGTGATGAATGAGTGGCGTCTGTGCCATGGATGTGTTTTGACTTGGAAAGTGGCATTTAAGGCTACGCTCACTGCTTCCTGCTCTCTTGTAGGCACACCTCGTTCCTTTGGCCAGGGTTCACATGACCTCGGAAAACTCCTCCTCCAGAGCTAGAGATGGTGAGTTTCTATGATCCCTAGTTCCCACGAAAGATGGAGGCGAATGCATTTTCTATTCCAATGCACTGCTTCTAGTTCTTCGCGCTGATGTGTTGGAAAATATGAAATCAAATGCTGAGGCTGACACTATCTCAGCCAAGTGGTAAGACATTTCGTCCATCCATCTGCTCTCTCGTCCTTTACATCCATCCATCCATCCATCCATCCATCCATCCATCCATCCATCCATCCATCCATCCATGTGTTCCTCTTCCCCTCATCAATCTCATGGCATCCTCCATCCTGCCTGCATTGCGAGTCTATCTGTCCACTCACCAGTCTCGTGTCAACCCATTCATCTCGTCCATCTAGCTAACATCTGGTCTCCTTGAACCGTTTTTTTATTTGGTTTGCTTTTTACAGGATGCCCAAATCCCCCAATGTATAGGCGTGCCAAACGGCGAAAATTTGAGTAGCGCCTTCTTTCAGCTTTCATTGCATCCATTTTTCGTTTTTTTTTGCACTGACAAATAAATTTGGCTATTGTTTTTATGACTCCACGTTTCCTCTTCGTGTCTCCAGAGGGGCCCCGGGCGGACCGGTGATCAGCTCTTGGTTGGTGTTTGGTGGGTCTTTTACACTGCGTACGCGTCCAAGGATTGAGGTGTCAATGGAAGAAGTGCAGCCACCGAACTGTCCAATTTTTGGTATCGTATTCGTGCCTTGGCTTCGGGTATGGCAAGTATTAATGCGGAGTAGCACTGACAGAGACTCATTTTGGGAAAGAAGTGACACGTTCTAGTGATGGTACATGTTCAAAATCTGATTAGCCAGAGGATTCAAAGCTAGTACCCAAGTCAGCAATTCGTCCACACTGAATAAGCACGGTGGTGAACCCAATTTCAGAAACTTGAACCAGATGGCTCTCTAGCTAAGGTGGATCCTTTGTACATTTTGACGAGGTTTTGCAACCACTACCACAGATCTGGTGTTCACAACCGCCTCCCCAGTAAAGGCCAAAACTATTGTCGATGAACAAGCCAAAACAAAAACACGGTCTCGACAACCCTTTCCAGAATTGTTAAGCAAAAGACACTTCAGCTTCCATCAGATGTTAGTTGAGGCCACGAAAAAATAAATGAAAGCAACTTAATTGCGATCCTA